CAATGACCATGAAAATATTATAATATTTATTAAATGAATACAAAAGACACATTGTTTCTTGCACTGACTGTAAAGATTTACCTTTGCAGAACTTCTCCTCGTAGGGAATTCCGTCTTTTGGGTCCACACCCTGTTGGAGGAGAGAAGGGGCAGATGATAGTATCTATCTAGCGCCTGAAAAATTACCGTGCAAAACAGAGGCTGAGAATTCAATTCTTCTTGAATGTTTGCCTGCAGGAAGCACTGCATCATCATTATGATGCTTTCCATTACATTATTTTAATAAGTATATGTACACTTAATTATAATAGCTATAATTTAAATAATCATAAGCATCAATAAACAACATTCACTCATAACTGCTTCCCCTATGTTTCCTTATTTTTTAATAAATACAGTTTTATTACTTGGAATATCAAAGGCAGTAAATAAATACGAGTAATCCAAATCAGTTCATAAACCAGAATAAATAAAAAGGAAATATTTCCAGACTAATTCATAAGGAAGAAAAAAGTGAAGCAGCAATCAGGAAGGAACTATAATATGTAACTTCATTTACTTACTTACCCATATGCCATTGCAGTTTGAGTCACTTTTCACATCCCAGTTATCAGGACTAAAACAGTTACAAAAGGATATACAGTGTTAGAGAAAATAAAACAAAAGGGCCTTTTGAGGAAATCAGATCCTTTGTGCCATTTTTCACTAAGAATATACAATAATTGGAAATTCCTTTCTGCACAGAAAGGTGGAATTTTCCCCCTTTGAATCCAGGAGAGGCAATTTTTCCTAGCAAAATGTAATATTAATTTCAAGTTAATACTGGAAGTTGCTGAATGAAACTTACCTTTTTAGTCTGCATATTCATTTAGGCAAAGTGAATGGGGATGATTTTTGCAGAAGACAGACCCTTTTTCCTGCCCTTTTCCTTTCTTTTAAATGTTCATTGAAATCCGCCAAGCCCCTCACTCCAAATTCAGTGCCGTGTAATGAGGATTTCCTCTGGCCCATAACACAGTGTAATTAGCTCAGGTCCCTTTTACAAGGAGACTCCATCTATTGAGTCCAGCACTACACATGGACTCTGTAAGCCCATTTCTGCTAATGCAGGTGTGCTGCCCAGGCCAATGGCCCATAATTCTCCGAAGTCCACACCCTTAAACTCACTTATGTAGTCACAAGCTGGTTAATGCCTAGGCTTTAAAAATGGTCCTGGTTAACAACAACTTCTTAGCAAACCCATAGTAGAGGAGAGCTCTACTTTTGAAAGAATATTTTGAGCACAGGGTAAAATAGCAAGAGCAGGGGACCTTGTTCAAGGCCACACTGTTACAACTGGCTGTGCTCTCCATTTTGGGTGTGCATGGAAGTCCATGCTTGGGCAGCTGGGAGGTATTCACTCAAAAGATATTCATTTAGAAAGGCACATATTTAGTTCTACGTTTCCACCAACATAACATGAGGATTGGATGCTGGAGCTCAGCAGCCAGTCATGAGCACCACTGTTTTGCCCTCCTGCCCTGCTGCTCCCTAAAGTAGGCACAGCCTGTATTAGCTCAAGGGCCATCAGGCTTGTAAGCATCAGTGGCTTGGTTTCCCACCCCACCTTTGGCCTGTTTGACCAATTTTGGCTGCAGGCACTTCAGAGAAAAGAAAGAATCCTGTGAACCACCCCTCACGCTAATGCGCCCCATCCCTGGTCTCAATCATCCCCTCTCACGTCCATCGCAGTGAAAACAAGCAACGAGCAGTGACGTGCTCTCTTAGAGTATGGCCAGAACCAAATATGGAGCTTGTTCTTCAAGAAGCCACAATTATTAGGAAGCTTTTAAAATAATTAAAAGCTTTACCGTCTGCCAGGGTACACGGTGGTGTTTTTGTCATTGCAGTCTCTGCCTCGCCAGTGATAGCCTCTCAACGTCTGAAAGCCAGGAGAAGCACACAGAGAGGATGCTCATTGTTACTCTTGCACTTTTAATTTAAAATATCTAAAATGAGAATCTAACTCAAGGTGTAGGAATAAAACCCAGTAAATGGGTTGTATTCCAGTGTCCTTTTGCTAAGCTTTAATAAATGACACCTTGCACACTTTGGTGCAGAAATAAGACAAGCTGACAATTTAATTTGTTTTTTTATATGACTTTACTTCACCTCTTATTAATTCAGTAAACAGACCACTCAGCAGCAGAGCAATTTGCTTCTGCAGGGAGCACAGCTTTATGTGTGCATCTCCCCAGGTGGCATAAATAAATGATTGTTTTTTCATCCAGAAAAAAACACCTTTTATGACAAAAATCCTCTCCATTCACTTCACTCCTATACCTATTTTCAGATGAATGAATAAGGCTTTGCAGAAAGTAGGATGAATCCCATAGACATTCTCATTATCAAGGGATTACTGTACCAAAGCAAAGGCTTTGCTTACCGGGAAAGTACTAAATTTATCTCCATCGAAATCTTCAAAAGGCAGTTTATTTTTTATGACACTGTAAAAAACAAAACCAACAAATGCAGTGTTAACATATGGAAGGGAACCTATTCAGATAGAAAAAAAACACGGTAAAATGTACAGAATAGATATTAGCTGGCATGTCATTCGCAGCTCCATATTCAATTTTAGCTCCGTGCTTGTACTTCAGCAAAGTGATTCTGTCCAAAGGAGCAAATTCTGGTTTCTTTCACTTTCTGCTGACTGAGCTCTGGAGGTGAGGCTGAAGGACTTGTGTATGCCTGCACTGTTGAACCTCCAGTCTCTAAAACAAACTAGGACATCAAATCTGTGGTAAAAGTAACTATAATTTTCGGAAATAAATACTACACTCAGCCTGGCAGAAGTCTTTCTGCCTGGGAAAGAGCTGCAGAATGGGGCCTTACGCTGATGGACACTAATCTTCTTCTGTTAAAAAGAAATGGCAACTACCCTTTCTCATATTCATCCCTCAAGTCTTTACACCGTCTCTCTCCTGTTATGTTCAGTCTAGAAGATTTGCAGTTCTAGTCCCACGAACTTCTGGCCATGCTCAAACATATTAGAGAAAAGTAGAAGAACAAAGAAAAAAACAGAGAGAGAGCGCGCGAGAGAGAGAGTGCATGAGAGAAAGAGATCAGAAGAATTGAACACATTCAATCCAACATATGATAAGCAATTTGATTCCTGCTTCTACTGTCTGCACTCACAGGGCTCAGACTCAGATTATTTGTCCTGACTTACATTTCAAAGGCATTGACAAGATGTATCATGTTAACCAACCCATTCCCAATACACTCCTGATATTCACAGTTTCAATTATATGAGAAGAAATAGGTGAGCAAGTTAGTCTTGGCAGTTAAATCAGTCAAAATATACTGCTGATAATATTTATTTTTAGATTTGCTTGATTCTTCCTCTGACTCGTTGGAGTACATTGACAAATACGCCTTAGGAGTAATAGCCCAGCTGATGTCCACAGCCTTTCTCAGAAACTGACTCAAAGTTAGCGCTGCCATAAGGTGTTTTTCCTGTCTGCCATCCACCCAGCTTTCTTAAGTACCTTGCGATTCTCCTACACTTTGCAACCACCACTTAATTCATCTTCCTCACGGAGTTATATAGGTGCTGGTGGCCTTCCTGTGCTGAGCCACTGGCACCACAATTAGGTGAACAAATGAAATGGAGAAGTCTTTTGGGGTCAGGAAATCTCAGGAGAAAATTGTCTCCCTCTTGGAGGTGTCATTTCTTTGAGTGTGTCATATATTTGACCTCTGTGGCCCACTAAAATTATGCAAATATTTTAAGTATTGAAAAAACACAGGGATCCCTCCGAGGACTCTTACTTACCTGAACTCTGTGCAACATCCCTCTATGCTACCTGGACAGTGGTTTTATGAAAGAAACCAACAGAACTAAAGTATAGGAAGCTTTGTGTAGCTGAGAAAGACTTTCCTCCTTTGAAAGAAAAAAAATGTACCATATTCTGATTCTGGTTAAGGACTGAAAACTTTATACATACTATTTAATCTTCTCACACAGGTTAGCCAGAAGAGGAAATGCACATATACTTGAGAACCCCGTGAAGCTTTTCTGGAGAGGAAGAAAATAAAAGAAGATGAATACATTAGTTCACAGAGGCGGCATGGCTTGGTATATTCAGTGTCAGTGAAGTCCAGAGCTAAATCATGTATTTTCTGTCTAGAAACATCTGAAAACTCCAATGACACCATTAAGGATACTACATCCCAGAGGATTTAGACCTGACACAGCAGTCAACTTAAGGATTTCCACTGAACATTTTATAAACCAACCACTCTTGCTTTCAAAGAGCTGTAAAATTAAAAAGGAAGGAAGAAGCTCCTGTGAAACTGTCTCCTCTTATGTACTAGAGTTATTTTTTTCACTCTTTGTAAAAATTACTGTTCTCATGTTTGATAAACACAATGGTATCTGACACTTAGTGCAAAACTACTGAAAGCAACACACTGTGCACCATGAGGCTGGTTTCTGCACACTTGGGAAGGGGTGGGTGAGCCGAAGGTCAGGAACAATCCCAAAGAGAGGAGAAATGGGAGGATCCAGCATGTGCATAGAACGCCCTTGATTTTTTAATGAGATTTTTACCTGGAAATCTCACTAGACTTTATCTTGGCCAGACCTGCAGGCTGTAAAAGACAGCTGCTGCAGGATAAACTCTTTCAACATCGGTAGACCAAAACCATGGGCCAATCCAGTTGAGATCCCAGGTAACCAGGAAGCTTCAGAAGCTGAAAGAGACCTTGCTAATGAATGCTCAAGTTATGGAAGCATTGCACTGCATTGGCAATCAACCTCCAAACATGCTGCTAATGTGGCTTCACTGTAAGCTCAGGTGGTCTTTAAACATCGAGGGTGTTCAGGTGGTCTATAAATACGGAGGGCTAGTTGGTGCACAGTCTAATTAACTGTATTCACTAAGGCTGCATTCAGCATGTAAATATGGAGCAGATCAGCAGATGGACATAGTCATAACTTTATGCAAAGAAGGGTAATTATTTATATTGCCATAGCACTTAAGAGCTCTATCCTTGGACCAGCTCCCTTGTGTTACACACTTTATATAGACAGAAAAAAAAAAAAAAAAAAAAAAGATGGTCCTTGCACCAATGAGATTACAACCCAAATCTAAGATAAAACAGAAGATAAAGGTTGGATACAGCTCAGGAGAGGACAATGAAAGGCTATTAATCACTAGGAGGGGCAGTAACCCCAGCATATAAAGCTCTGAGTGACAAAGGAGAACTTCGAGGTGGCACTGCAGCAGTGTGTAGGGCATTGCCCTGCAGCTCCAGGGAAGGCAGGAAGGTGTTTGCTTGGACAGGTAACAGGGGGTGATGGAGATGAGGGTCTCTCACTGCCCAGAGCAGGAGGTCAGCCACAGCAATATGTCATGGACAGAATCTCAGTGTGGAGAGTAGGGCTGGGAGAGAACCCCTGGCACAAAGATGGCAGCTAACCTTCATACTGGTGGCTGAAGGGACCAAGCGGCAAGGCGAAGATGACAAGAGTGGTGCGTTGTGGGGGAGCTCTGCAGTGCCGGAGGTGGAGCCATGACAGTGCACTTTCTAAAGAATGCAATAGAGAAATCAAAGGAGAAGAAAAGGAGGAAAGTTGGGGCATGAGAGACAAGAAACTTGCAAACCCCCCCACCAATTAACTCTCTTCAGCTCTGTCCAACACATTCAAATGACAAGGCTGGAGTTGCACTGGCTTGGAGGCGACCAAGAGGTGGAGGCAGTGTCGGTGGAGTCAAAGGAGAAACCAGAACACAACCACAAAAGAAGAGGTTAGAAATGGCCAAAAGCAGCAGGGAGTGGGGCCTTTCCATGAGCTGAAAGACCAGCCTGGTCCCACTGCTGTGGCTCCCGCTGCCCCCCCATCCGTATCCCTGCATTTAATCTCCCTGCCTGCCTGGCTGCCCTGGGGCTATGTCCTGCAGCATGGCAGGGATGCAGACCTCCTCTTTGCTCTCTGTGTGTGCATAAGCATGTATGGCCAGGTAGGCAGAGAGCGCAAAAGTCGCACAAGCAGGATGCCAGCTTTTCTCAAAGAGCTTTGCAAACCTATGTATGCCTTCCTGGAAAGAGGAAAGAAACCATTTCCCCCACCTACTCCATGTAGAACTAATCTCAGTGCTGCCTACAAAAGCACTAGAGGCTCCTAAAGCTTTCCATCAGGCTAAGATTTACAGTGTCTTCATTTGAGCTGTTGGCTTTTCACTTCAGCCTAAGTCACAGCATGCAAAACCTTTGAAGTTAAGGCATCTGGAGCTGAAACTGTGCCAGCAAGACAAACTACAGGGCTTGCAAGAAATAAATAAATAAAACAAACCTCCTTTCATTCTGCTCACAGGCTGCATTTAAAGTCTACCGTTTGCTGTAAGTAGAATAAAATCTTTCCTGCCTTTTTCTCAGCTAGTCATTTGAAAATTGTTGCCGACTGGAGCTCCGTTAGTTTCAAAGGAAGACTATCCTGCAGCCCCAACAGACTGCCTAACTTTGGTGGGAATAATTGGTGTGATGGTGCCCTGGAAGTGGCGTGGGCGATGTCGAGTTCGGCTTTGAGGACCAACTGCAACAGCGTCCCAGAGCACGTGGGACAGTGAGGTCGGACGTAATGCTTCAGCTCTGCTTGGCGATGTGCAAGAGAGCAGCTCATCTGCTCTTTGGGGGTGTCTTGGGCTAGCAAAGGCAGCAAGGAGCACAGGGTTAAAAAAAAGGATAATCTTTGCACGTGTAAGTGAGAGAGCACACAAGCACAAGTGAGCAGGCACTACAGGGTCCTTCCCAGCAGAGCCAGGCTACGATTGCAGTATGTGTTTTTGGGAGGAGGTGGGTTACTTGCCCCTGCGTAACATGAGCAGGTGACCAAGAGACCCGTTCATGCCCCCCTCTGCCTTGCAATTCCCTTTTGGCTCCCTCCATGGCTTCCCACTTCTCCCGCTGCCAGGCTGTGACTGGCAGGGACCACGTAGTCATGACAGGATTGTACGCATGGTGCTTGCTCTCATTAAATGCTACAGCCATGACTCTATTCGTCATTCTTACGCTGCTGTTGCTCAGAGATGTCTCGTAGTATCTTTTCCACCCGTAAGAAAAGTTAGCGCTAGAGGTGCTCATAGTGATTGATAACACCAATATTTTATTCATTGCCTGTTAACATTCCCTAATGACATTTCTGTAATTATTTTAATTGGTTTTACAAAAAAGAATAATAATGAGCCCCTACTGCTTGTTGGTGTTTGGTTTAAGCCAGTTGCTCACAGATGGCTCACTACTTCTAATGAATGGAGACATTTATTAGATTTTTTTGGGTTGTAGCCACTTTTGCTACATCTCTACATCTGGAAAATATCTTTTCTTTTTCCCAAACCCACAATGATCCTAAGAAATGCCCTGTAAATATGAACCCCTGGGAGTCACACAGACCTCCTATTCTCGTTACCAACAGCCATAATCACACCTCTTTTTTATGCTCCATCACACACAGCTGCCAAGCAAAGATGGGGACAGCGAACTTGCAGGAACCTCTTCAGAAGGCTTTCCCCAAACGTGCAATGGGGCAAAAGCAACCAAAATAGCAGATATGGGAAGAATGAGCAGATATAATTTGACATTTCTGTCCAGCATGAGCCAGAGCATAAAGAGGCCAAGTGAATGTTTCTCTGTCTCCACCGGTGTGGATGCAGAGATGTCCTACCACAAACAGGGTGTTTCTGGATCCAGACGCACACATTCAGCCAGGCAACCCCCTCCCCAAGCAGCGAGAGCTCCTCAGCTGCTTTGGCCCTTGCTCACTGGCACATGTATCTGCCTGGGCAGGTGAACAGACCATGATTTGGCAGTGTTCAGGTTGTGCAGGTGATTTTCTTACTATTTCATCATGTGCTGCCACTCTGGGATATGGGGGCTTATGCAAGTGTGATGCATGCTGTGCTCTCTCCTGGAGATCTTCCTTTGTGTTTCTTACTACATTGTTTTTTTTGGATTTGAAATAAAATCAACTGCAATCTGGGTGAAGGGGAAGTTGCGAGGTACAGTAATGCCTCTAGAAATGTTGTTATTTTTAATTTTCTAGCTTTAAAATAAGTTTCAGCAAGGATCATTACAGGGAACATGCTAGGAGTAACCGCAGGAGAGCCCAAACCAACCACATGATACTTGTTTTAATTTGAGCTGACCTTATATTGTGCAGCTGTGTAGATTTAGAAATACATTGACTGGAGAAACCCAGCTATGACCTTGCTGCTTCTAGCCAGGGCACAGTCTGCTTGTCCCTCCCGCTGGTAAATGGGCAACGAGGAGCAGAAAGGGGCCAAGGGCATTGTGATGGAGATTGAGAGGTATCAGGGTATTGAGCAGGTTTGAGGATACAGGAGAGCAGAGGCAAGCTGGAAGGAGACCCCATTGCACCCAAAGATTGATTTCAACCATGCAGCCCTACCCAGGAGAGCCCAAAAGGATGTGGCATGCATAGCCCACGAAGGCCAGGCGGGGCCGGCCATGCGAGGGCCGCAGCCCGATATGCCAAGGGCAGAAGCACGTGTGAGGGAGCAAAGGAGCCCTGTGCCCTGAGGGCCAGCACCTGCACGCAGATCCTTCTTCATCCCCACACCTGCGCCCGGGCTCTGGCTAACAGCGGGGACGTCCTTGACTCAGAGCATCTCTCTGCAGGTGTTAACGTGGGGACTTGCACCCGGGGAAAGGGGATTAGAAACTTCATGTAATTTGAGTGGAAATCTCAGGCCATCAGTGGCACAACACTGAATAGGAAGGAAAATGAATAAGATCCTGCTGATTGCTGTTCTGCAGGAGCTGAGACCTGTCTCTCCAGCGCGTTGTTTATTTCCCTGGCTTGGCAATTTGGCAATTGCCCAAAGGTTAATTAGGCACCTCAATTTTCACTTTTGTGAGTAGCATCACAGTGAGGATTCAGGAAGAAGCAATATCAATAATTTCTTCACAAACAGCAAAAACATTTGCTCTGCATTAAGTGCCTGAAGACAACTGGAAGCAAACTCTATGGCTGAGCTGACTCATGTAACGGAACCCAAAAGAATAAAAGCTACCCTTCCCTTCTCTGCTACCCTTTAGAGATCCTCTACAAATCTGAAAACTGATGGAGGCGGAAAGATTTCAAATCCCACTTTTCAAATTTAAGAGGCAAAGGCAACTTCTCACAAATAAAGGAAAAATATGCAGACTTTGCATTCAGGCCCTTGCTTGAGTTTCAGACAACCCCAAAGTGCAGCCACTGTGCTCTAAGGCAGTGTCTCGGTTCACAAGGCTCCCTCTTACATAAGGCTACAAGGGCAAGGCAGGGGTGACAAGGGACAAGGAAGAAGCATGAAACAAGGACGAGCAATAATAAACACTGCAAAAATGTTGAAGGAAGGAAGGAAGCTTCTCTGGATGGAAAAACACAGGGCAAGGCTGAGTGAGAAATTCCTGCTTTTGTAAAAAAATCTAAACAAAATCATTATCTGCTTGCATCTTGTTTTAAGGCTGGCTACCCCACCAAAGGCGAGTTGGGCTAGTACAAGCAAGTGTCTCAGTGTGAAGCTAAACTATGGAGCTCACAGCTGAGATCCTCAGCTGCTGCATGAATTTCAGACATAAATTTATGTCTTGGATAGATATAGACATCCCTACTCCACAAGCAGTCTGCATTTTTCATGAGGTTTTTTTGTGCTCTCCCCATACTTTTATATTTCCTCTCTATTATCTCCCTCTCCTTCTTCCCAGTGTCACCTGATAGAGCAGATCCTATACCAGGTAGGAGTGAGTCAGCATTCAATTCAATGCTGATTATGTGGATTCACAATCAGGCAAAATAAACAAAGTCTCACTGGTGATAAAATCCATGTACAGTGTAAGACACCCTAACGCCACTGATTTCTTACCAGGTCCTTGGAAGTCTTCATAATCCTTTTTGCTTTTCTTATTGCAGTACTCAGCCCCACCTAGGAGAGCAAGAACAAATAATTAAAAAACAAACAAACAAACAAACAGATCAGTCTCACAGTATCCTACCAATTTTTCGCCCCATTTCCTCCCTTTTTTTTTCTAATATACCCGTCACAGCACAAAAATTATATATGAGTCTACAAACTCATCATCAGTTACTTTCTATTGGACTAACAATCAATTATCCAATCACCCCCTAAGAAACTCCAGTTGCAAGAGTTCATTTATTTTGCTCCAAGGCATCATTTATTTCCTAGGGAAAAGTCCAGATAAGTTGAAAGGCTGAGATTCATATCCTGACTGCACAGCATGAGCTGCAGAGGACAGACTTCTTCAGTGACTCCTGCTGA